AGAAGTTCAATGTGTCAATTGATAGGTAAGACTACATTGGAGGAGATTAGAGCATAACACGACTACTTCATAGGATTTTGGTAAGTATAAAACCACATGATTTTTGGATCGTGCATTATATGTGGGTTGTTCATAGGTATTAGGTTCAGTCTAGGTCCGAGTTGGACCTATATCTATGAAGACGATTAAGAGAAGCTCATCAAAGGACCTTTTTATTGAAACTCAAATTTTTTTTGTTTTAAAAAAATATAATTAAATATGTATACTTTTTGTATGATTGTACGTTGTTTGCTATCATGCTTTATAGATAATAAATGTTTTGGGACTATATAATGTATTTTATGTTCGATTAAATATAACAGATGTAGTAAGAGTTCTGTATATGTATCGGGTAACCCGTCACTAATGGATACATAGAGTGATTGATGATAATTATTTTGCAGTAAGAGTGACATGATGTCATGTGTTTCACCTAATCAACTACCAAATCCTTCAATTTTGATTGGTTAAATATATAATGATTTGCATATCTAATAATAATAATTGAGATTAAAAGAGAACCACAAGTAATTGGCCCCACGCCCCCGCCCATGCAAATATCCCAGCCAACAATTAGTCAAGCCATTGAAATCCAGCTGTGGGACCCAAATGACGTGGCATCTAGTCAAATTTGTCCGCGACTCTGTCACCCTCGGGAGTGGGTACGTAATATCCACGCTCCTCACAGGAAACCATCTTTCTGCCCAGGTTCAGTGGAGAGAAGTTCACGTGTCAAGCTGCGGCGCTTACTTTTCTTTAAAGTCGCCACGTCACTCCATTGTCTGTCACGTGTCGTCGTGGACACACGTGTTTTATCTGGCTAGATACTTGTAAGGATTGTTTTTTTGTTGGTATTCCAAAGTTTTAGTTAATAAAAATTAATTTATTGCAACGGATTTGGTTAGTGTAATTATAAATAATTAATTGTTTCCTAGTTTTGATGACCTCATTCATGTTAAATCTATCATAATTTTAAAACGTAACTAATTGATTTAAATTAAATTTATAGTCAATGATAATATCCATAATTAATTAAAGTTAATAAACATTCTATTATAATAATTATTTTATATACATTTATATTAATTTTTCAAAATATTTTTTATGAATAATTTATCATAATTATATAAAATTTATAACAATCTCATTTAAAATAATTTACATTTTAAAAAAATAAAAAAATATCTCTTTAAAAACATATTTACTAGGATAGAGAAGGAGACAAAGAATATTATCTCCGTCCCTCTCCTATTTATCTAATAGAAAATTTGGTCTCTATTTCCTCCCTTATTTTCCGTCTAAATAAAGAATTTTTGTCTTATTTAATGCAAATTTTCACTAAATTAATTATGAAAAAGTTACAGTAATATTCCATTCATTCAATAATATATTAATTAAATAAATGTGAATGGTCAAATAACCATGGTCATTTTAATATTACAAGAAAATATGACGTGCACGAAAACCCATATTCCTTAAATCAAGAAAATACGAACAACTTGTTGGCTTCAAAAGTAGATTTGATAAGTTTCGATCCAAATATTTTTGTGTGTTTTCTTTTATATGTTCGGGCCATCATCGACTTATAAAAGGTCAACATGAATATAGCTGATTGGTAATTAATATACTTAAACAGATGATCAAAGACTACTCGATACATAAAACCTAGCCTTACCTATCTATCATAGTAGTACAATCCATTCATAAATAAAATTTATCTATCTCAAGTCCATATATTTGAACATGTTAGGTGTCTAAATATGTTAACCATTGAACATAAAACTAAAAATTTAACAACCAATTAAAAATGAATAATTATTTTTTTATAAATTTAAAAAGTAAATAGACATCGATCTACACTTGTAACATATATTTAGGTATTAGGACTTCAAAGGAAGCTTTGCTGCGAAGCATAGTAACCATGTAACGATCCATGTCAGAGAGTTCGGAATCTGGTTTTGACACTTGATGTCCTCGACATTTTCCCACAATTAGAATTCTTCCAGCATTTTTTATTCACACTCACATGCATCTCAGAAAAATTCACAGGAGGTAACTTACATCGAATTACTCAAGTTACAACACATCAACCATGAAGTTCTTATGATTGAACCAACAAAAAGAAAAATGCACTTTGTTGATATATGTCTTTTTTAGTCGTTATATTCTCAAGATTGCTCTGAAATCGGTCTTGGTTCATTCATATATCTCGCCTTTACTCGAGTGTGACAAGTGTCACAACCCACAAACCTCAAGACAAAACAAATCATAATTTCTGCCATTTGGCAATGCTACAAGACAGAGTAAAGAAAAGAACAACGTATGAAATGAACTCACCCACCACTGTTCTTCTCATTCTGCCACCTGCTTTGTCTTCTCCATTGTGTTTACAATATAATAATATTGAACCTTTAGGAAGCCATTTCAAACACGACATCACTGTTTTTGAAATTTAGCATGTTGGGTTATATTTTATGTGTCTGTATAATGCATTCTCTTGACAACTCGCCATGTTTAGGGCACGCATGTCATCCATGTTGAATTTCAATTGCCGGTTTCAATACATTTCTCGGCTCCAATGGGACGTGGCAGCATTACTATCTTAGGTTATGGAGCCTCATGTTGCTTATTTATATAGGTTAGTCAGTATACATGGTAAAACTATATTCGATAAATGATATATAAAGTAAAATGTCATAAATAGCTATGTATAATAAAAAAACTATATATAAATAGTTGTATCTGGTAAAGCTATATATAGTAAGCTAAACCATATATATATCCACTCAGATAAAGTTTGAAAAGGTATGTATTCTCCGTATTCTCCATATTCTTTGTACTAGATATACTTGAAGTCATCAATATAAATTCTTTAGCCAGAGTTCTTCTTGCATTTTCAGAGTTCTTCTTGCATTTTCTCTATCCTGTTCTTTGTGTTCATCTAGATCGAGTGTGTGCGTTGTTAGTCAGAGTTCTTCTTGCATTTTCTCTATCCTGTTTTTTGTGTTCATCTAGATCGAATGTGTGCGTTGTTGTGCGATCCTAACATACTCTTCCAAATTTCATCCTTTTAGCTGGTCCCTGGTCAATAATGGGATCTGCTCAAGACTGTTATGATCCTCGTCATTGATTTTCAGGACCTTTTGAGCATGTCAAGATTATGACGTTGCATGGTTGAAAATGTACGATAGTGAGAGTTAGTATAAGAGTCGTACTTTGTATGTCTAGTCGGACAAGATTGTTAGGAAAAGAATCCAAAGGTTGATCGAAAACCTTGCAAGTGTGTCAAGAGTGCTAGAATGAGTAGGATAGTTGCGAGTTAGATTTAGAATTCAGTTGTAGGTTGAAGTCGAGACTCCCTCAAGTCCATTAGTGTTGTGTGTCAACACCTCAGTGTGGGGAGATCTACTCGTCATGCAAGATCAAGCCCATTTGCCAAGGGCTTGGGATTCTGATGAGGGCAAATAGATGAAACAAAGGCACATCACCCGTTGTCTTCCCAAGAATCATTTGTTGTAAATTTTCATAAGTTGGTAACCGTTATTAAATAAGAATATTATTAATTTAGTTATTAATTTTGTAACTATTTTAATATTAATTTTATTTAATTTTATAATATTTGATAATTCAAACAATTGTCATCTATAATGGGATTGTCTAGGAGGTTGTTGATATTGGAATTTGACATCAGAATTTGAGAGAGTTTTGTGTGTACATTCGTTCCACTTTCGGCGCACAACATCATTTGCATAGAGGAATAGTGTCTATAATTGCAAGCAGGGAAGTCGGGAGTGTCATACAAGATAAGCGCCGACCAAGTGCCAAGTTGAGTACAACGTAAGTCCTTATAGGGGGATGACATTGCTGCAAAGAGGCAACTGAGATTGAGTGGGAAGGACTCAAGTGAATGGGTTGCTCATCCTGTGAATGTGCTACCAGGTGTAACCTCGCGTGTATTCCTTGAACCACCGCCTTGTGTCTAAGGTGGAAGGTTTCGCAAAGTTGTTAAGACCAAAATCAACTCGAAAAGTGAGCATCAACTAGACGTAGACATATAGAGATGAAGCTGCAACAAGAACAAAGAAGTGTAAAAGCAACTTTGTCACACGAAGGTGGCCAATTGAGAAGTTGTCTTAAGTGTAGTGCAAATAGGAGTTGAGTTACAAACTTCTAGACCTTACTTTCAAAAAGGGTTGTGGCCATGATGAGGGGATGTCGTGATAGACAAGCCCACATGTCACAGTAAAGGAATATGACCATGACGAAAGAATGTCGTGATACAGATCTCAGAGCAACTTAGAGGATACAATAGTTGAGGCCAAAGTGGTCATGTTTGGGGCGCACTCCCCTTAGCTAAGACGAGGAATACCGATGCTAGTTTTGCCATGATTCGTTTAGTGAGTCCCAGACCAAGTTCAAGAGAAGGGCGAGGGAGGTCCCAGATGGGTGCCAACAACCAACCATTGAACAATTGTGTTTTGTCCATTCTTATGTTGCGAGTCTCAAAGATCAAGGGAAGGTCCGACAATGAAATAGCCCAAAAAAAAAAAACATTAGCCTATTGGATGCTATAAACATGAACTATCTAAAGCCTGAAAGGCCATTTAAAGATTTTGGAGAGTCAAAAATCACGAATTTCTACAATGATAGGATATTGTCAACTTTGAACATAAGCTCTCGTGACTTTACTTTCAGATTCACAAAAGTTTTCTACCAATAAAATAGTATTCCTCACTTAAAAACCAGTAATCTTCCACTAAATGAACGGACTTACTCCCAATAATCCTTAACATGGTTAGACAAAGTCTACTAAGGGGAGTTGGTTGGGACCACGAGAAAAAGATGTCTCCTTTATTGTGTTTTTCTTGTCACTCTCTCTTCCAAAACAAAACAAAACAAACAAAACAAACAAACAAAACAAAAAAAAAATAAAAGGTCAAGCCGTCGTTCATCTCTTATCTCCAAACGCGTCATTCAAATGTGGTTGAATTATTTATATATATCCAAATCAAAAGGTTTTAGTTTCTCCGGTATAACTCGCCGGAAAACACAGAACCGGCAGCCATGAAATCCTCAAATCTCCTTCTCATCGTCATCGCACCTGCCTTCTTTTCTACTCTTCTAACAAACTACTATGCTTCTTGCATCTGCTTTCAATCCAGGGAGCTGGCTCTGGCTTTTGCCTTCACCGCAGGAGGAGACTCGACCAAGAATCGTCAAGGTCCTTTCCATTTTCACCCCGCTAATGAAATTTAATTTAAGATATAAAGTTAGTTGTGAAATATATTTTATATAACCGTTTCCTTCTACCAGTTGTTTCAAAATGGAAACCACGTAGGCTCTCAATTGCCATTGATACGGTTGGATGATGGAAGTCCCACATCGACTAATTTAGGGTGTGATCATGGGTTTGTAAGTGAGGAATACTAACTCCATTGGTATGAGGCCTTTTGGGGAAGCCCAAAGCAAAGCCATGAGAGCTTATGCTCAAAGTGGACAATATCATACCATTGTGGAGAGTCGTGTTCCTCTAACATGGTATCAGAGCCACACTTTGTGTGTCTAGTCGGGCAAGACAGTCAAGAGAAACAAACCCAAGAGTTGATCGAAGACCTAGCAAGTGTGTCAAGAGTGCCGTAATGGGCAGGACAGTTGCCGGTCAGAAGTATAATCAGTTGGGGGTTGAAGCCAAGACTACCCAAAATTCATTAGTGTCGTGTGTCGACACCTCAATATGGGAAGATCTACCCGTCAAGCAAAAACCAAGCTCACCTGAGAAGAGCTTGCAGTTTCGAAGTAGACAAGACAGATGAAACAGAAAGCACCATGACGGTGCCTTCCAAAGAACCATTCACATTGGAGGAATAGTGTCAGTGGTTGCAAGATGAGAAGCCGAGAGCCAAGAAAAGACAAACGTCGGCCGAGTGCAAGAGCCGTATACAATGTGAGTCCTTATGGGGGGACGACCTTGCTGCAAAGAGGCAGCTGAGTTCGAGCGGGGAAGAGCAACATCAATAAGTCTCTCACCCCGTAAA